TTTATCTTCAAAAAAGTGCAAAATCGCTGCAACCTCGCCTTAATCAGCTTTTACGACACCTACGGGATGAATAGGGGGTGGAACACTACGTAGCTAAGGTTTAGAAAATCGATTCTCTGAGTGAGTCTAGGTACTTAAGTGCGTTGTGTAGAGTGTGGTATATATTTGTGATGCCAGTGATAATCTGAATACATTGGTGTTGTGTAAAATACTTTTGCCTTAATTTGTAGCAATACTTTGATACAAACCATCCGATTTCTTTAAATAACAGTGATTTTTACGACTCAAGAATAATGCTGGGACATCAATCCGCGCTGAAGAGCATCAAAAAATTCTGCATATTTTAAATGGAGTAAATAAAACAAATTAATATGTAGTTTCAACTTTTATTCACTTAATTCGAGATTTTTCTTCCCATGACTCGCGCCTCGGAAATACTTCACAACTCACTGACACTACGAACATCGACAATTACAATACTGTTTTATATTTTAAATGCGGATTGTAATACATTGACAATTAATATTTTACATTAGTTGCCCGATAGTTGAGCGTCAGTTGCGCAACTTTTGGGCCACTCATGTGTAACCCAAAAAATATTATTTTATTATTAAGTATTTAAGTACTAAGCGAAATTTGGTAACATAAAATTAAATTTTCAGCCAAATGTACGTAGAATTAAAATTTTTGATTTATAATCTAATAATATAAATTGTCAATGCACCGTTTGAATTGATATTGTTGGTATTCGAGTTATTTTTGCTTACAGATAATTTCGTTAACGACTTCCACCACTTTCAAGTACTGGCTTGGCAGTTTTGAACACAATTTATGGTCGTTACATTCAACTATTCAGTACAAAAAGGCTATTCGGTTTTACACACTTTTAAAGCGTTAGAAACTAATTAGATAATACAAAAAATATCGAGTGACAAAGTTAAACTTTATTTACTTACAGCTTAAAAAATTTACTTAATTGAAAAATATCCAACAACAAGCCAAGTACCAAATACTTAGATATTTTGTTTTTACGAAAACGATGTTAATATATAACCTTTATCGTGTGATTGAACATTATTCATTAAGCCTGTATCACAGAGAGTAGGTGTATTTACATTTTTATTTTTGTATAATTTTCGTATTACTATAATAATATATTACACGACTAAGTTCGAATATTGTATGAGTGGGAAACTAAACCCGATGTTGTTCACTGCTTAGCAACAATCGCGCAACCATCGACCGACTAGCAATTATAGGTAAAATAAAACACGAGAAGCACGTGACATTAGAAAATGCTTATGAAAATAAATACGTATAAAATCATACTTAGCTGAATTTTGTCACGTTGAGTAAATGCACTCTCACTGTTATGCAACGCATGGCACTGTCCGTGGTTTTCATACAACGTTTACTAAAGCAGACGCAAGAGGTCTCGGTAACTTGTTCTCAGCCTTAGTGTTACTCTCATACAATATTCATTAAAATCAGTTTTGTTTTAAAGAAAACTTAGAACTGAGATCATTTTTTTTTTAATTTTTTCAAGATTTGTAATTTTTTTTTGTCATTTATTAGGTTTGAAGCTACGACAGAAAGTTATCACTACTGACAAATCATAAAGAAATTAACGCATTTTTTTTTACAGAATTTAAACTCAAAGAGTTAGTCGTACAGAAGAAGTATATTAAAATTATTTAATATTTTATACAATAACTACATATGTAATACTTATAATTATTAATAAATGTACTTAATAAAGAAAAAACTTCGGTGGATTTTTTTTTTACTTTTTCTTCCTATAAAAAAGTTTAACATTAGCAAAATGCGCACTTTCCATGCTTATAACTAAAATAAACGAATTCGAATTGATTCAGGGAGCAACTGCAGAGCAACTGTTGGGCAACTTTAATGATATGATGAAGGGGCAGCAAATCGAGTTCAAGCCTGTCGTGATGACATTTTAGGCCTATCATTTTGCTGTAAAATTAACTAACAATATTAAATATACTGAAAGATTTAATAACACCCTACAGTTGAGTCCCTACGTTTAGAAAAATAGGTTTTTTTTAATTTATTTTTTTCTAGTATAGAAATAATCACAGTAAGGGAAAATATTGGCTAGATTGACAATGTTTCATCCTTAAAATATATTAAAAGTAAAAAAGACTAACAATAAAAAAATCGACTAATTAGCTTAAAGCCATGTTAAGAAACAACAATAGTCCGGAGGAAACATTGTTCATCTCAACGCAAATTAATTAAAAAAAAAAACAACATTCACATCGACCAATACTCCAAATACGTCTTTTATTATTGCAAATGTCAATAATTAATTTTAAAAATTTTGAAATTGCACCACTTTACTTTTTTTTTTCCTAACGGATTAACTGCAACTTAATTCGAAGCATACAACAGAAGTGGCGCAACTGATTGGCAACTGTTAGGCAACTGTCAACGCACATCGACTAAATTCAATCAAATCTTACCCACTAAAACGGGTACCCTAGGGTCGAAAAGGCCTGATTAATCGTACAAATAGCTATTAATAAAGGTCTTAACGGCCTCATCACCGATGATAGTGATACCACAATTGCCATTCACTTACGCACCATCACTGGACACACACAACACGGATCACATACATTTTGAAACACTCAAAATTAGGATCACGAACATTCTCGATTATTTAATCTAGATTAACTAACACACACACATTTATTGCGGAAATTAATAATTGATATCATCAAGATCTTTGGATTTTTATCGTGTGGGTAGATGAGCAGCCGGGTCAAGAGCTGCCACTACTAGTTCAAACTAAGTTCGTTTGAAGTTCGACCCTGTACGCAAGGCTGTTTTTCCTTAGAGAATAGCACAGTTGATAGGCAGTGACTACAGCCGTTTATGGACTGTAACTAACTAGTAACTCGAGAGACAAGTTCGTTTGCATCTTTTGAGCCCCCGAGTTAGTTAACCGGTAAAACCTCAATAGCAATTTTTTGTGAGGGTGGGGTACTCTGGATGAGCTGGTCTATTTGTACCAGAAGCATTGCTCTGCACAGCTGTAATCAGGTATAATATGTTTAAAAAAAATTTGTTTAAATAAAAATAAAAGATACTTTTCACTTTCTATTCTATTTGAATATGACTGACATTTTTTATTTAATTTTTATTCCATATTAATGACATTTTAACCAAAATCCAGTATATAAAAAGGTTGGTCTTCAATACTTTTGCTGATCTTTAAACTAATTGTATTTTCCCAAATAATCTAATTTTCTTATTTAATTTTATTGATTTTTTTTATCACTCGGGAGATTAATTCGGGACAGAGTAAAAACCATCCAAAAAAGCATTATAAAAATTCATACCTATTGCTCATGTACCGATTTTGGTGTTGAAAAAAAGTAAGCATTGCCAAATTAAGAGTGAAAACAAATACAGACGGTTTTCGAATAGAATAGATCCATTTTATATCAGAAAAATCCATAGATCTGCAATAAGATCACTTATTAATAACCCAGTTAAAAACCTCTTGCATTATACAATATTGCTAAAACGATATTATTAAAACATACCGCGAAACTACTAAATATTATGTTTACTTTAAGTAAATCAATTTTATATTGTGGATATTAACCCACAGGCCTCGAGTACAGTACACAGTTACATTATATATTCCGCAAGTATTTTTTAACTATATAATTAAATAATATTGTATACTATAAAAAGATTTTTATATACAAATACTAATTCAAAAGTATAACGAACTCAAACCGCAAGAACCTTTAGGATATGTGAACTCCGTCTTCCACTAAACGGAGGTTTTCAATTAAACAATAATAGTTACACTTTAATATGAAACTTTTGTTGGGAAGATAGTCACGTGTAGTCACATTTATATTCTATTGTATAAACTACTTACAATATTTTTTTTGCATCGAAAATTAGGCACGTTTCTCTGAAAAGTGACTATAACGAACACCAATATTTTTTTGGAGTTTACTCCTTAAGGCTAGGTTTGGAAAATAAATGAAGAGTAAAATTTGGTGATCGAATAACCTGGTTACGTTTTTTGTACGCACCTTTCACGTGTATGTATATTACTTGTATGCTTGTGTGCAGCCGAATCGTTCTTAACGAGTAAACTCCAGTCATGCGTCGGAGGTGACACACACACACTTTTTTTTTAGTGTAATTTATAGTCACTCACAGATTATGATCACAACTGTATATAGTTTTAAGTCTAACTATTGTAGATTGTTACAACACTATTATATTTATCTTATTATGCACAACACGTAATAAAATATATATAAAATAAAGTGATAACTATGCAACTACTCAATGTTCAAGAATGAACTCACTGTATATATAAAGACTGGAAATTCCGGTGACAGTTTGTTACAGAGGTCTGGACACGAGGTTTTATGGTATTTGCCCCGTAAATAAACATACAGGTCAATAAGTCACAAATGCGTTGGCAGCCACTGAGTGTCTCCCCCCTAGAATTAAGGAGGGGATGGCTATTGATTTCTGTAACTCAAGTCACAAATGCGTTAAGGGTCTTTGATGGCCCTCCTCTAATTCTGGGGGGGCTATGGACTCCTGCAACTTAAGACACAAATGCGTTGAGAGCCACTGAGTGTCTCCCCCCTCAAAATTAGGAGGAGGGCTGAAGTAACTTCGCGTATTAGACGAAATGCTGTTGTAAAATTAGACCACTATAGTAAGATATCAATACTAAACTGGATTTAAGACTGCACCATATATTTGTACTTAACTATTGCCACATATCTTTGCAACGGCAATATTTTGCCACAGTAATAGTCATTTCTTGCACTGGTCCGTTTCCCAATTTCATCGTTTGTGTACTCTTATTCTGTTTAATACCAGACATCTGGACGTATAATATCCAGAGTCTGGATTAAGTAGATGATCCGGTTTTAACAAACCTATCTCTGGATTTAGTGTGGTGTGGTTCTCGCGGTGTGGAGTTGATCTTAGCTGTCGCAGTACACCGGGAGGACGGGACTGCGCGGCCAATCTGATGTTTCTTCATTCTCGCTACTCTCACTGCCTGATCTGTTACAAGAAATAGTTTCTATTAGTGACTAGAGCATTAATAATAATAACCTCACTCACTGACGTCTGATTCCAAATAACCAGGCTGGTGTTAAACATACTTAAATTTTTCTAAATACAGACCTCTTTTATTTATATAAAGTTGGTTTGTGTACGATTCAAAAACTCAAAAAATTCTGCACCAATTCAGTTAAAATTTTGACACAATATACAACACGCTCCAAATATGGTTTTGTCTATTTTTTGCAAAGAAAATGTTCCACAGCAAAGCGCAGTACTGCGGCAGGGTACAGTTACTTATAGATATTGTTATCTCATCATAAAACTATTTGTCCTAGGTGGGATTAGAACTCACGACCTCAGGCTTAACAGTCAGGCTCCCTGACCACTAGACTAACGGGCCTGTCTAAAATAAACATTTAGGAGGGTCCTCCAGGTAGTCGAGGTGATCATGCCTGCCACAGGCCTTGATGTTGGGATATTTGTACATTTACTAATCGGCGTGAGGAATTTTACATCAAGTTAGCTTAGTACATACAATTAATGTGCTTTTAGGCAATCTTAAGGGAAACATTTGGATGGATAAATCGGCCGTAGATAGACGAATTCATGGATAGTTTTGACTTTGACATGACTTTTATTACTCGAGACAGTCTTCTTTAAATGGTATTGAATTATTGGTCTATCGTTGTGAGGAAGTAGCCCAATATTAATCCCATAGAAGCCATTTTTAGTAGAACCTATGTAATAAGAAGGTTCGTGTGGTGACGGAGATCCGTGTGGTGACGGATTAAGAACACAGAGTGTCACCACCCCAATTCCTCCTGTGGGTGTCGTAAGAGCCGACTAAGGGAGAAAATTACGCAGAACAAGAGCACTGCAGACAAGGATAACTTGACACAAACCTTATACCAACCCGTCTGTATAGTATAGTAGGCCAAAATCTCCTTTCTAAGGAGAGTCTTATGTCCAGCAGTGGACTATTAAAGGCTGTTGATGTTTTTTATTGTGGAGTTAGTTTATTTTTAAACAGAACAATATTTGTTGAGTTAAATAGCCCACTGCATAATGGTCATACCTAAAGTGGGGGGTATTTGTGACTTTTATTCGTAACGATAAAATTAAACATAGTTACCTGTTCCTGGTAGGCGTGACGTCAACTTGGAAATGCTGCTCTTCTATGGTCGGAAGTAAAGAGGTCAAACGGTCCGTGGGTCGAAGTACCTGTAACAAAATACGATGGTAGGTATTAGTCGATGAACAACTTTCCTTAGGCATTGTGGAATACGCTCTTTACTTCAAACCTTCGAGAAAAGAGCGTACTCCTTCCGCAAAGGCTGGCAGAGTTGTGATTTAAATTTGCAAGCGTTCTTAGACGGCGGTGGTTTCTTTGCATCGGGTGATCCGTATACTAGTTTGCCCCCTCTTTCATAAAGAAAGTGTTGTTTAAAGAAAATATATTTTTTCACGAGTTTCTAGTTTTAAAATTAGCGTGTTCTTAAGTTTTATTATATGGATAGATACTATAGTTCGCGGGAAGTCGACGGATGCGGGCAGTACAGAACCGGGGCTGAGTTTTGGGGGAGGTCTATGTTCAGCAGTGGACGTCATATGATAGGATCATTTTTGCAGAGTTAAGAGCTGATTGCTTTTACTCCACGATACGCAAACGAACAGCATCGTTCTTGTCGCGGGTAAGGAACAGCTCCAACAGGGTCCTAGCCGTGAGCCGACAGAATGGACTGTCCATATATGACTCGATGCTGTCAGGTACATGCAAGATGCATGTACCTGACAGCATTGTAATTATGTGCTTTAATATTAACATAGGCTAAGTTTAAACATACTACTAACAATTACTATGAATCACAGTTATTCGAAATAAAATTTCATTATTTATTTTTATTTAATTCTTTTTGCACAAACACCAAATCATTGTACAATGGCGGACTTAATGCCAAAGGCATTTTCTCATAGTGCATGAAATTAAAATTAGGTTACATACATACTGAGATACACATACATATATATACTTGCCGAGCTACATACATACATATAGTACATACCTATATATACATATTACATGGGCTGAAAAGACCTGGGCCGAACACATGGATGGCGCTAGTTTTATTGCAGTCACCATTATGATGATTATTTTATTAGTGTTTATAGCATGTTTGCGGGTCGGTCCGGCTTACCTTGAGCGTCCGCTCGGAGAGCCTCCACACGAGGCGCTGGCGCTGGTCGCGGCGCGCCTCGCAGCGCTCGTAGCGCGACACCACGTGGCGCACGCGCGCGCGGCACGCGCCCAGCGACGTGTCGCACATCTGAGGGAAACACCACTCTCTTATTAGTCATATGATTTTAAAATCCTTTCATCACATCTGTGAGTCATCTGCACATCACTGTGACTTATTATTATATTATTATTACGTTAGCGCCAGACCAGCGAAAGGTCTAAATCCAAGAAAAGGTCGGTTTGATTGATTTCGATAACATTTATCATTGTCTATGACAAATCTACGTAGTGTTTGATCACAGGTGAAATAGCAATGACAAAAGCCATTAATTTCATCATATGATTATTATTTAAAAGTAACATTAATTTCCATGTCTAGTACAGATTGCTGATTAAAATATTATTTTATACATCGACCCTACTATAGTCAACGAATCATAAAGATAGTGAATTAGTGAAGGTGACAAGAAGATACTTATTAAGTGTAATGTACCTTATACTTATCTAACACACTTCAATATTATTTACATTTCATTATTTTACACTTATTTATTTATATATACAAATGTAATATCGATACCGGATGGTCGATAATTCATCTCGAATATTACCGACTGAGTCCGATCCCTATTACCGCGCAGGCGTGGGATTGTTTTGATATCGATTAGCTACGCTAAACGGTGTCATTTTTTGCCTTAGCTGATTTTAATGTATTCTCAAGACTTTGGCCTTTAAGTTGGTTTGGTTGGCGTGCTTTCTTCAATTTCTACTGCAAGATTGTATATCCAAGTTTTAATTAAACATTTTATTGTTCTTGACGTGTTTGTGATCTAATAGTGCAGAGTTATCCTTCTGATATACCTACTCCCATTACCAACAAAGTTAATAGAACAGAAAGCCTAGTACAAATTTATTTGACATCAACTCGCGTTCAGTGTGGACCAATCGCAAAGCCCAACGCATCACCGTGATCATCGAATAGATGTCAAATAACCGTGTGGTGACGGATTAAGAATACAAATTGTCACCACCCCAATTCATCCCGTGGGTGTCGTAAGAGCCGACTAAGGGAGCATAGTAAGCAGGACAACAGCACTGCAAAGAGAAGGAAAACTTGAAACAAACCCTATACCAACCCGCCTGGCCAGCGTGGTATAGTAGGCCAAAACCTCCTTTCTAAGGAGAGGCCTATGTCCAGCGGTGGACTAGTATAGGCTGTTGATGATTGATGAAACTCACACTTGGGCCTCTTAATCCGTATCTTACATTTTCGTTACAGAAAGAAGTGACTTGACCGACTCAAACCCAGGACTATGTTACTCTCAATAAAATTAAATTTGTATACTCACGTGGCAATGCACCTGCAGTTGTCTAGCGAAGTCGTACAAATAGTAGGCGTGTTCACTCTCCACACCGTTCGATGCAGACCACTCCGATAGTTGTTGTTCTAAAGAAAGACATGAATATTCGTTTTAGTAATAGCGAAAGAGACACTGGAAGAAGCTTTGTAAATAAAATCTGTCAAATTTTATGTTCTTTAGGTAGTTTTTAAATATATAATATACATTTAACACGCTTTTATTAGCTTGGTATAAAAGGGTTGGTTTTTAAAATAAAAAAATCTAATAACTTTACTTTTACCAATACCTGTCAGTAAAATATTTATACAACAAGTGAGATCTAGCATCCCATGATTTTTACCATTAAATAATTTTTCTATTTTAGAAAATAATTTCCTACTTTTTAGTTCAGCTAGCTACAAAAGCATGTTTTTTATCAGTTTTTTTACTATAATTTATTTTTCTTTTTAATTTCATGATATTGCTTACTATTGACGAAGACCGAATGGCTTAGTGATTTGTGTAACGGACTGCTATTCCAAAGGCCGCGGTTTAGATTCCCTCCCAAGTCAAACATTTATGTGCATTGAACATTTATTTATTCTTTGATTTGGTCTGGGTGTTTCTATGTATAATATGTATGTATTAAAAAAAAATCAGTTGTCTGTAAAGTCGGTTTACTGACGATAGTTGAACGTGACAACGTCATAAAAAAATACTGATGGAATGGTTGCATTTTTCAAAAATGTATTATTGTATACGAGTAGCAGCTGTCCACGCGGACGCATCGCTCACTCAAGTAGGAGAGAGACAGATAACGAACGCTGCCGAACGCTGAGGCCGATAGTGCCTCTTTGTCGCTCGTTCCGCGCTCTCGCTTGCACTTCACGCCTTAAATGGAACGCCTCAGAGCGAGGTAACGCCGCATGAGTCATGTTTTTTCGTGGTTGCAGCCGGCTCCATCGAATTATAAGACGTTGTCACGTCAAAAAGTATTTATATATTTACATCAGTTGTCTACTAGCCATAGTACAGGCTCTATTTAGTTTGGGACTAGATGGCGCTGTGTGAATGTGGCAGAATATTATTATTATTACTATTATTTATTGATACACCCGGACTTTACGCAAGTATAATTTAATGTGTACAATGTAAAGATTTATTTGTGGCATATAAAAAAATATTTTTTTTCTATTGTTGGTGAATCATTTGGGTAACATAAGTTTTAAACAGTATAATATATTGTGGTCAAAAGTACTTTTGACTGATTTTGACGGATAAAAGACTGTACTCACCAAGTTTATGGTATAGCAACACTAATGTCAGTTCACTGGTTCTAGCGTTGACACACGCAGCATCACAAGACACAATCTCTAACAAATGTACCAACTCCTGTTCCTGTAACAAAAAAATATTATAATTATTGTGAAACTGGAATGGAACATGGAATTTAAAAAGCGCTGCCTTAGTGGTGTAGTATGGTACGCGACTGCAGTCCATTAGGCCTCAGGTTCGATTTCCAGACCGGGCATTATTTTATAAGGTTTTCCTGAAATAGCCTAAGTTAATCAAATAGACAGCTACTTTGTAGTAAAATATTATCAAAATCGGTAAAGCAGACAGACAAAAAATATTTAAGTAGATTTTTAGGCATAGGTATTGTGCAAATAACCGTGTGAGCATGAAAATCTATTATTTTGACATTGCAAACAGACACTTCAATTTTATTTATTTGTGTAAATATTAATTTTTATTTTCCTTTTTGTATACACTAACTAGCTTTTGCTATGTCTTTCTTCAAGAATCAAAGTCTCTCGAAGCCAAATTTCGTTAAAATCGTTTCAGCGGTTTAAGCGTGAAAAGAGGTAAACAGACAGACTAATAATAGAAGATTTTTCCAAACATTAACCGCTGGGCCGCGGCCCGCCAGTCATGATTACCTCGCCTAGTCGAAACATCCTCCTTTTGCGTTGGAGGGACGTTATACCCCTTCCTCCACAGATTTAAGGGGCGGAGGGGGGAGGGTTTCCTACACAACCTTAAACATACTAATTTAACTTTGTTTACTTACAGAACTTAAACCAGGTAGCTCAATACCCAGTTGTTCAGCGTGCAACAGCAGCATCCCACGCAGGAGTCGAAGCCAATCTAATGCAGAGACAGTACAGCCAGCCACCAGACTCAGTTTGTCGACTATGACGCGAGACATGCGGCAAACATCGCCTGCTGTGCACGCAGACTGGGAGATGGATACTGAAATGGAAGTAGTAACTTTTAGAGAATGGGATTCCGAAGATGTCGGGACTGGGGCATTTTCTTTTCTCAACTAATTAGTATAACCAAAAAGATTTATTCGTACACTTATATTCGTAACTGTACCCAATTATGTCAAGATAATGCAAATGCAAAATGCAATGCAAAGAGATAAATCCCGGCTATGCCTGTGTAAATCAAACACTGCTCTAGCATAACATAACAGTGTTTTCGCCATGGCTCCAAAAATATATAATAAATTACCTAGGAATATAAAGGAGTTAAATCCGACTATCTTTAAACAGACATTAAAAAAAATTCTGAGCCAAAAATGCTATTATAATGTAAATGATTTTCTGCAAGACAAATTGTAAATCAAATTAATTTCGTTCATTGTTATTTAATTTATGTTGAACATGACAATGTGACATTTTTAGTATTTTGACTATTTGATTATTATTGTTGTTTTTTTTTATTATTTTTTGGTTTTATTGTATTGATCTGACTTAATAACATTCATAACACTCTTGACATTATTAATTCCCTGAATAAATTTATGATATGAATATATTCTTCAAATTGTATTTGTAATGTTGAACGTCTAAATAATAATCTTTCAAATATCTATGTCTAAATATTTGCACACCTTTAAGAGGTTATATTACAGCGTACCCATGTATTATATGATGTATCTTCTACCACCTTTATACCTGTTTTATGCAAATAATAAATGATTTGATTTGATTTGATAATGTGAAATATATATTAAAATAAAAACTAGCTGAGACCCGCGGCGTTACCCGCGGGGCGAAGCTAGTCTAAAAAAAGTTTAGTTGTATAGATTGTTGTTTTATGTATCATTATGGGGCATTTTTTTTATGTAACAGTATATACCAGCAGACGTGTCACTTGATGGTAAGTGACCCACCAAAATTAGGCGTGGGGGGGGGTTCGCTTGGACTCGGGTAATCTCACTCAATCAATGAAGAGAAAGAAAAAGAATTAACAGCTGTTATAAGGAGAGTTACAATTGGAAATAAATGAGAAGTGAAGATAAATGAGATTGAATTGGAGATAAATGAGAAAAAAATGCTCTAGACTTACCTAACTCCTCGACAGAAATGCTTCTCTTGGTGTTGGTGTCGTGCGCAAATTGTTCTAAAGCGATGTTCATACAGGACACAGTGATGCAAGGCACGTGGCATGGACGCACCTTCATTTTGGTCAGGAACCTGTAATAGGTTTAATTTACAATACATACATTTCTGTGATAGTGGAAGGGCTTGTGGCTTAGTAGTAAACGAGTAGGTCAGCACACTGCAAAGTTAAGCAACCGTAGCCAGGTCAGTGATGGGTGACCATTCTTAACAGATTGAGATCCTTCCGTATCTCGAAGAGCACGTTAAGCCGTCGGCCCCGGTTGTTTTACAAACATCTGTCACAAATGTTATGGGTAGTTGGAACCCCTAACAGTCTTTCTACAGAATTTCAGATATCGCCTAGTACCTACGTGGGTTGTGGAGGTCTGATGGCAGTTCCTCCACGTTAAAAATCGAAGTTTAGCCGACCCCAACCTAGTTTGGAGAAAAAAAGGCTCTGAGGAAAAAAGTCAAGGCGATCACTGACAAACGCGGTAAACATCTTGATAAAGGACGATGTCAGTGGCGCTGACAAGCTCACCCCTTTATAAACGCATAGTTCCTGCTATGTAGTGGATAATAAGTATACTGACCTGTCGAACAAGTTGATGGCGTTAATGAGAACTTCAGGTGGCAGGTCGTACCACGCTTTGAGACAGCGCAGCACGTGGGCCGCGCCGTCTCTGGCGCCCGTTGTCACCTCAGCATTCTGTGGACAAAGTATAATGCTCATTAGTTTTAATATCCAGGATATATTCAGCAAACTAGCATTTTTTTCTTGTATAGATTAATAGGTTGAAGATATAACTAGAACTTTGATGAATTTAAATTATATTCTTTGTTATGATACACTGTCAATGTCCTCTGCAGGAAATTTATTAGTGCAACGCGATCAATAACACACAAAAATGAGAATTTTTGCAACATCGCACAGTCCTCGAGATCGTACTCATACCTTAACTATTTGTACCTATTTTTTTACCCCTCTGCTTCCCTAGATGACAACACTTCCCCCTCTTCAACTAGTTTGCACATTATAGTCCATCAGTGTGGTTTTAATACATTTTTTTGCAAACAACGTTAAAAAAAAATACGAATACGTGTCGAAAAGCTAAGAACCCCTCTTCCCCCGCCTCTGTGACCAAGCGTTGTATTTTAAAGCCTCGCCTCCTAAGCGGGTCACGTATTATAAGCACGTTCCCTTATCCAAAAAACTTTATGTTATCTATGGTCAACATTATTATCTATGGACATGAAAACAGCACAGAGGTCGTATCGTTCGCGTCACGCGGCCTTCACACGATGCTAATTTGTGAATGTACTCAAAGCGCGTGCTACGGTTAATAGTTGCACAACATACGTTTTGTAATGTTGAATCTTCCATACGTTTTAATGTTATTTGTCAGGGAAAGATTGTAATGTTTAGAAAGCCAAGGGCTCTTTATTGACTTATTAAAACCAAAAACAATAGAGCCAGTTAATGTTTCTTTCTTTTTAATAGTTTTTTTTTAAACATTGGTCGCCAAACTTGACTTTTTATAACAAACAAGCATGATAATATCTAAAAATTGAAACGGAAAATTGAAAAATTTAACTTTTAACTGGTAGTTTTTTTTTCGAAAATTCTATTTAAAATAGAATGCCAAAGACAAGTACTACAAGTATTGAAAGCTAATGTTCTATTTTCAAAGACACTGTGTATAATATAACGATACAAAATGTTTATACGCCAAATTAACAGAATAATGACCTTTCGCGTGACAATTTACGGGTTAGCCCTATAAAATATAGTTTATTAGGCAATTACTTCCTACATATTTGCACAAGTCCCCAAGGTTACCCCTATTAAAGCACAACAAGTCAAGTACTATCAACAAAACGACAGTTTAACCTTTAAATAACGCCCATATATGTTTAGCTTTATTAGGAGGTCGGCATTGAGGACTATTGTATGTGTTCTATTCAAATAAAAAAAAATTAGAGAAGGTTGGAATGTTCAATAATATTTTTTCTTTTAATATCCAAGAAGGACTCGTGGCCAAGTGGTAAGCGAGTAGGTTAACACATTGCAAAGTTAAGCAATCTTAGCCAGGTAAGTCTATGGATGGGTGTCAGTCCATTCTTAAGAAAGGATTTTTAGAAATTTTACCCCGAAGAGGGTAAAAAAAGGGATGGAAGTTCGTCATTTTCAAAGTTAGAAATAAATCTAGTTAGTCATGTATACGTGAGAACTTTAATTGCGCGATGCAGGATTATTAGTAACTCCGAAGTTCGGCGTAACTTCATTAGATGGCGTTAAACGTGTAATGCCAGTTTATAACTTACCTTAGATTCAGCAGGCAGACACAATCTGGGCTGGAACTTGTGCTCCAACAGCAGATACTCATTTAGTTTATTGTACAGATCCTGCGCCTCCTCTTCAGGGGCGCGCACTTTTGACGTGGACGTCGACGCTACCGGTGTAGCGGTATCGTCAGCATCCGGGTGCCTCGCGCCCGATCTCAACATTATCGGGATTATTGGCGCGAGTCGAGGGTGAATCGGCACCTGAACATTAACTTCATGAGTGAGTTATTGGAATACGGGTAATCAATAAAGGATGACTGACAGAATAACACCAAACCCTTGGAAACGGGAGTTTGCAGATCGGCACAGGCATATTATAGATTGAATTCATTGCCTACTTGTGTGATAACACCGGAATAAAACTTTCGAAGTTAAGAAAGACTAAATAAAGTAATAACAACGAACAAGTGCATTTATCGAAGAGTTACAGGAAAATTAATAAGAACAAGGTCTTTCATAATTTAATATTCAGAACAAGTGCTATTCTAGTGGCATGACCTTATATTATGAAAACGTACCTACAAGGTCCTGTTGATAAATAAGTATTTTTAACAGGTGTAAAATGCAGCTACCTACGATCTAGCGGGGAGTTCCGCTGGAACGTACCCTTAACTATCCGTGTGGTGACAGATTAAGAATACAGTGTCACCACTCTTATTCATCCCGTGGGTGTCGTAAAAGCCGACTAAGGGAGTAAATTACGTAGGACAACAGCTCTGAAAAGCGTAGTATAATAGGCGAAAACCTACTTTCTAGGGAGTGGCCAATGTCCAGCAGTGGAATATTAAAGGCTGATGATGTACCCTTAACCAATCTTATCAAAAGTACCCTTTCACTTCTGTTGGCCAAAAAAATCTACCGAAATATTATCTTAAACAGATATAGTTACTCTAAGATCTCCTGGCCTGAACTCCACCGTGGGCCCTGGAGGGGCCCTTGTGGCTCTGTATCAGTGTCGCAAGGAAGTGCGGGAGTTAGGTCGGAGTCCTGAGACTCGGGAAATCGAGGACCAGAAATCCCAACCCTACCGGGTCCTCGTAGAGGAGTGGAAGGAACTCTTGGACAACCGAACGCCGGGCACGCCTTTATTGCGGCGGTAAGACCCATTATGGAGGATTGGCTCGAGAGGCCTCACGGGACCCTCTCATACAGGTTGACGCAGGTGATCACTGGGAAAGGATGCTTCGGGGATCACCTGTCTGGTCTGCAAGAAGGCCACACCTGAGTGCCACCACTGCGATGGCCGGACCGTAGACATGGCGTTCCATACGCTGGCAGAATGCTAGGCGTGGGTGGAGCAGAGGCGTGGCCTCGTGGCGGCCTTCGAGGTAGGAGTTCTCTCGCTCGGTAACATGATTAAGGCCATGGTGAGTTCTTCTTCACTGCTTAGTTCCACGCACCCTAGGTGCGTGGAACTAAGCAGTCTCCTTCTGCGAGCAAGTTATGCTTGCGAAGGAGATAGCGGAGTGGGACCGGGAGGGGTTTAGAACTCTCTCTTAGACGGCGTGCGGTTTTTAGTCGGTTCGAGTCCGACATAGCCACCGGTGGGTGGTATTCGAGGGGATTTCCACACAGAAAATAAAAAGGGTTACTCTTAAAGGGTTAAAGAAGAGTAGTTACTCTGTTATTGCAAATACTTAGTTACTTATTTAGTACTACGAATAATGATATATCATTTTTATCAATATATTACAAAACAATATCTTACCTAAGCTTGCTTGTTGCAGGAGCAATCAGCGGCTTCTTGTCGTTGTATATGCCCGCACCGATCCCCCCACGGCTCGTCCCGACGATCTGAGCGACCGGGCGCGAAGGCCCTAGTACCTGACAATTGAGAGACGGGTATCAGCGCACTGCAGCCCGAGCAGGCCACCGAGCGATGACTAATGGTAATTATGATAAGGTTGCAAAAGGAATAGGTGATGGCAGGAGATGGAATGATCAATGGAACAAGAGTAACAGTTACCAACTGTGATTTAAAACAGAAGAAGGATTTTTCACAGATTGAGACTTGACAATACTGTCGTGAGATTCCAATTTCTTAAATATAGTAAAACTTGTAATTCAAATTATAATACTGAACAGTAAGTATAGGAACTTCAGGTAATAATAATCCAAGGGATGTTTTTAGGGTAGGAAACCTTTACACAAAGGCTACTAGATTCAATGTTTTGTTGAAAAACTATTGTCTAGCCGCCAATGAGTCTCTCAGCGTCAGATACCAATACAACAGCGGTTGAGCACTGATGTAGGGCGGTACACTGCCCTCTAGCGAGTGACAGCGACACTAGCGTTTAGAATACAAACACAGAACACCACGGTCTTTCCCTGGACCTTTTAGTATACACCGGGTAAACGTGGGTATACCCTTAATACTATATTTTATGAACTTTTGAAGGTTCTGTCGCAGCAAGCGACAAAGGTCTCTTGACAGGGATAATTTTAAAATTCGTAATATAAAAATACCTGTAAGATTAATAAAATGATTACGGTAAGCTTTAAATAGAGATTTTGGTGATGACTTTTTGTATTATTCAACCAGCGTCTTTTTAGAAATGTTAAAATTAATGAGATGCAAATTAGTATACAAACTTTTTTACCATAATTTGAAACCTTATCTAAATATGTCTTAAAAAAATAGTGTGTTTTTTTTGGAAGAGATTCTTGACTTAAAATAATAAAAAGAAAAGTAATTGCTTTTTTTTTTAAAGTGTATTTATATTCATTTAAATTTCTTAAAAAAAGTACACGCAAATCACAGATAAAAAATATATTTTAATAGTTTTGTGTTTTGTTTAAATGAAGTTACTCCTTTATACGTTATCTTGAGTTCGAAAGTCGTAAGACCCGATCAAAGTACGGGCAACTCTCAAGTAATCTGTACCTTTAAGAATCCATAGATAAGATATTGTTATTTTTTGTTTATGTATTCAAAAACATATGTTTTTTATCATAGATACAGTGATATTTCGACGTTGAAGTGCTAATACCTACCTCCTTAGGTATATTTTTCAACAATATACAGTTAGTTGTCTTAAATCAAGTTACTATTGACTGTTTAAGGGAAATCTTCAAGTTCTATGACATCTCTAGAGCGAGGAGATGCGTTGCAGTCATTCGAGTAACCCATTTAGGTTGCCAACATTAACAATATAGTAATAACTCATAACCGAATTAGGCTCACGGTGGAGTTTATTTCCGAATCGAACAGCAATAATATAGCAAAAGCCAAAGTTATATTTTCTACAGTATTTTAGTATTGAACTCGTCCACATGGTAACGGATTAACAATATAGAGTGTCACCACCCATATCGATCCCGTGGGTGTCAAAACCAGCAAAGTGTGGGAGCAAACTACGCAGGACAACAGCGTTGCAAATAGAAGAAAAACTTGACACAAACCTTATACTAACCCGTTTGGCCAGCGTGGTACAGTAGGCCAAAACCTCTTTTCTAAGGAGAGGTCTATGTCCAGCATTGGACTATTAAAGGCTGTCGATGACGAGTATATTGGTATAATAGCAAAAATATTTAAAAACAACAATAATATCGTTGTACAAAAATACAGCGCTGAAGGGCATGTCTAAACACGTCACCGTAGATAATGAAACAATGAATATCGCTGTGTAATGTTATATATATTTAATAATGTTGTTATATTACAATACACACCTTCCGCATGACGCAATCGTGATTATCACTCGATATTGTAGTGAGACAGCTAATACCTATATTATCGATTATCAATCGATTATCAGTCAAAACAATTACTTATTATGTAATAAATTGAGTAATTTTATTGTATGACTGTGACGACATTTTAAAATTTGACGAGGTGTATGGCGCAGTGGTAAAAAGTTCGATCGCAATGTCATATGTTTTGGGTTCTATTTCTATTGTGTAAATAATTATTTACAAATTTAGATATTTCCACGAAAAGTATTTAAGGATATTAATTATCAGTATTCCCTTTATTACAAGTTATCGTTAGTTTTGGAGAATATAGAGCTGTATAACTAGCATATTGTGAATTTTACATATTAATAAATAGCTTGTACCCGCGACTTCGTTCGCGTGGAATTTGTAAGGCGCTGCCTTAGTGGGTTCGATTCCCGGACCGGGCAAGATTTTAAAGAGACGAAAAATAGTCTGTTACTCCTTATATAGACAGCTACCTGGTAGTAAAATATTATCAAAATCGGTACAGCCGTTATAAGATTACCCGTAAGAAACACAGACAAAAAAAAATTAAATTGGTTTTTAGGAATAGGTATGCAAATAACTATGCGAGCATGAAAAAACCTATTCTTTTGACATTACAAATAGACACTTTAATTTTATTTATTTGCATAGATTACTAGAGGATTCCTAGCTGCCGAATTCTACCTGATGGCAAGTCACTATTACACTTGCAACTCAAAATTCACAAAGGCGTTGCTGTATTTGAAGTCTCCCCCCTCCCCTCGAGTGAGAAGGGGGCTTGGGCTCTGATACCCGCTCACTCGGTGTAAATTTGCATAACACCAGTTTCATGTGAGGCCGTGGTAATCACTCCAGTCGAGCCGGTCCATTTGTGCATAGATACACGAACAGTAACTCCAATTTTAGACCGGTTGTGGATTGTATGCCATTACTGCCACCTACCCATATTGTTAATTCGTGTTGTCTGGCAGGGGTTGTTGTTACAATACCGTTAAATGTGACTCGTTATCCTTATATACTAAACAATACACTATTGAATATTTAACTATCCTGCTAACTATTATAAGGCACATTTCGAAGGCATGAACAATGCGAAATATTTAACACGGACAGCCATTTAATGCAGTTTGCTCCGTTTTTATGGTTTTTGCTCCACTCCGTAAGGTCATAGCGTGATCTTATACAGTATATATTACACTTAAATAATTAATTTATCAAATACATAAAGAATTATTCAAATCCGACTGCTTGTTTTAAAGTTTAACGCCTTTTGAAAAATAAAGACCCGTCTGCGTGAAAATTTATAGTTACTTAAAGTTAACAAACCGGCAAACTAATTTTCATATACCCAGTGTCACTCACACAATTAAGACGACTCTAACGACACCTCAAACGCCAAAAGCCATAAAGCTGTTTAGAGAACAGAGGTTCGAGTTTATTATTTCACTTTACTCGATCGCCACGATGACCGCGTCCTGCGCTGTGATTGGCCCGCACCGAAATCTTCACCAACCGCAACGCCGAACGCGCTCGCTGTCGAGACCTAGTTGATGTGAAATAAAACTTGCACAAGGGCCTCTGATCTTGCCAAAGAAACAAACGTACATACCGCACTCAAAAAGTCGCTTTTATTGCTCGTACGCTTAGATCTTTTAAACTAAGACGGGAATTTTAATGCGGTTTTTAACCAACACAGGTGAAAACATGTTATTGCGCGCTTACATTGCAAACGCTGGCTAACTCTTAAGGGATAGACCAAAATAATGTACTACGGAATTGTATATCTTCATGTAAATGAAGCCCAAAATCGATCTAAGTGGCGTGCAATGAGAGAGGCCTATGTCCAGCAGTGGACTGCGATAGGCTGATGATGATGATGATGTAAATATTCAATTAACATTATATTAGAACATGAAACAAAAACTTATAAAAATGTCAACAATATTTAAAAAAAAACTGTATTTACAAAAAATGTTTTATAGAGAAAATATTTAATTTGTCAAATATGACAATATTGTTGACATCACCCATTGACAAGCCATTATCACTACATCGACAGTCTATTGACACTGTGAATGTTAGTAGAATACCGATCTTTTGACAGGAGTCAATGGTATCTCAATGGAATGGAACATAAAATAGCAGAATTGAGACCCTACTCGTTTGTCGCCGCATACCATAAAGAAAAACCTACTTTTCGCTTTTCAGGTTTTTCGTTATACCCTCGAATTAATTCTGGAGAACAACTCACCGAATTTCTAAATTGTGTATTATATTTTTTGCTTCTGGTTTAAAAACGAGCACTCCAATCTAACCTCACAAGCTATTTCTATAAGCACAAATTTAAAAAAAAAGGCTTAGAAATGTATGTGAAACTCTTTTTAGAAAATAACCTATTTAAACTATTTGTTTTTATTTTTAATTAATACTGTTTAATCGGATGCTTAGTTACGGGTGTATTTGCGTTTTTACGATGCGTATCGTGATTATATTTCATTGTTTAGCTTATGTAAGTGCAAGTGTATTCGATCAGTATTTTGTGGCATCTGACGCAACATATTTTGTTTTTTAATTCGATACTGTTGAATTTGTATTTTTAACTCATTGTTATGATTTAAGGAGGCAAACGAGAAGACGGATTACTTGATAGTAAGTAACGACCGTCGCTCATGGACACACTGCAACTCCAAGTAGCATTTGTGTCTACCCCCTAGATTTAAAGGGTTTTGGGGACACTTGCAAATGCGTTATCGAATTTTTAAGTGAAAATATTGATTTAATAAATAATATTTCCAAAATAAAAAAAAAACTGTTTATATGCTATTTCAAACTATAGTCTATCTCTTTGCCAAATTTCATACAGATCCGTTCAGCCATTTTGGCGTTGAATGAGTAACAAAACATACATTCAATCAAACTTTCTTATAATGGTATTTAAATTCTAGTTAAATACTGTATGTTACAGTCGGCTGTTTAAATATGTAAATGCCCACAATATCTCTTTATTCCACATACGGACAATACCTTTGTACTGGACAATAAAGTGTGAATAACCTTCTACAATAATAAATTATTGATTTTTATCGTATTTATTTTAGCTGCATCACAATAGGATTAAAGCT